AAAGCCCACAAGTGTATCTTCCTTGGTTATTCCCCCACACAGAAGGGTTACTGTTGTTTTGATCCAAAGACTGGCACTCGATATGTCTCAATGGATGTCACCTTTGATGAGTTTTCTCCCTTTTATGGTTCCTCTCTGGAAGGACATTGTCCACAGGGGGGGGTTTATCACAAGTGTTTGCTCTTCCTCTCCCTGTCCCAGTTGAGTCTTTTGATGAGTCTGCGTCTCCTTCAAATGAATCAAGGGAGGGTCAGTCATTCTATTCTCCCTGTCCCAATGTTCTTCCCTCTTTACCTCMTCGTCCTATCCTCAATCCCAAGGTGTATCAAAGGCAAAGATCCAGAAATGAGCAGGTTGTTTCCCTTACAACACATGAGCCTCATGCACTTCCAGTCACAGATGAGACAACAGGTACTGTTTCAACCCCTTTGGAGCAATCTTTCCCTAACCTTGATATTCCCATTGCTGTTAGGAAAGGAAAACGGAAGTGCACTGCACACTGCATTTCCAAACACCTTTCTTATAGTCTACTTTCCCCTTCATATTTTTCCTATCTCTCTTCAGTTGCCTCTAACCCTATTCTCAAGTCTGTGTCAGAAGCTCTTAATATTCCAAAATGGAGGGATGCAATGAGATCTGAAATTGATGCCCTACACAAGAATGACACTTGGGAAGTGGTTGATTTGCCTAAAGGGAAGGATCCAGTTGGTTGCAAGTGGGTCTTTACTATTAAATATCGGGCTGATGGGACCATTCAGAGGTACAAGGCCAGGCTAGTTGCAAAAGGCTATACACAGACGTATGGGATTGATTATCTGGAGACCTTTGCACCTGTTGCTAAGCTGACATCTGTGAGGGTTCTTCTATCTCTAGCTGCTCACTTTGATTGGCCCCTTTATCAATTGGATGTAAAGAATGCATTTCTGAATGGTGAATTACATGAGGACGTTTATATGTCTCTTCCTCCAGTGATGTATGGAAGAGATATGCAAGGAAAGGTATGCAGACTGAAGAAATCCCTTTATGGCCTCAAACAGTCCCCTAGAGCATGGTTTGAGAGATTTAGAACAACACTTGTTAACTTTGGCTATGTTCAGACACAGTCTGATAATACTCTTTTTGTGAAGAGGAGTGGACCTCTGGCAGTATACCTCATTGTGTATGTAGATGATATTGTTGTGACTGGTAATGATGTTTCAGGAATTCATGCTCTCAAATCTTTCCTCCACACAGAGTTTGAGATTAAAGACTTGGGGGAATTGAGATACTTCCTTGGCATAGAAGTTGCTAGATCCAAGGATGGGATTCTTCTCTCCCAAAGGAAGTATGTTGTTGACTTGCTCTCTGAAACTGGGAAGATGGGTGCTAGACCAGTTGCTACTCCTATTGATATGAGTCATAAACTTTCTGCTTCAGATGGAACATTGTTAGAAGACAAAGGGGTCTTCTAGAGACTTCTTGGGAAACTCATGTACCTATGCATGACTCGGCCAGATATTGCATATGCTGTCAGTTGTATTAGCCAATTCATGCATTCTCCCCGAGACACTCATATGGCAGCAGTAGAGTGAATTCTGTGTTATTTGAAGGGCTGTCTAGGAAAGGGAATTCTGTTTGCCAAGCATGGTCATATGAAACTTGAAGCCTATACTGATGCTGACTGGGCTGGAAACATTGATGACAAAAGATCTACTTCTGGGTATTGTAGCTTGGTGGCTGGTAATGTTGTTTCTTGGAGAAGCAAGAAACAATCGGTTGTTGCTCGATCTTCAGCAGAAGCAAAATACAGGGCCATGGCACATGGAGTTTCTGAACTGTTATGGCTAAAATCATTGACGGAGGAACTTGGGGTTGAGCATGACAAGGCAATGATGTTGTACTGTGATAAGCAGGCCGCCATCAACATTGCCCACAACCCAGTGCAACATGATAGAACTAAGCATATTGAAGTTGATAGACACTTTATTCGAGAAAGGGTCTCTTCGGGTGAAGTGTATCTTCCTTTCATCACATCTGAAGGACAGTTAGAAAATTTTCTCACCAAGGACATTCCCAAGGCAAAGCTTCAGCATGACACTGGCAAGCTTGGCATGATTAACATCTATGCTCAGCTTGAGGGGGAGTGTAGAGAAGATGGGCCGAATGGCCCATAGGCTGTTATTCTTTCTTATTGTTTATGTTCCTTTCTGTAATGGGCCTTATTCTGGGCCCATCCTCTTCTATGTTATGTTCTTGTAATTTCTTGCCCAACCAAGGCCCCCCTTGTAATTATTCAAAACTAAATGAAATAGTGTTAGGGTGTTAGAGGGAGAGTGAAGTTCGAACCTCTCATACTCTAACCCTCTTTGCTGCCATCACCCTCTTCATCTTCTACTCAATAGAAGCAATCTTCTCTACACTTTTTGATTCCTTTTGAGTTCTACATCTATCCTAAACAGTCCCACACTCTCAAGGACTGTTTTTCTTCTAACATCATAGGTTCCTCTGCTTTTATCCCAATCTCACTCAGTAGGGACCTAACCCAAAGTAGTTCTGAGACACCATGAGCCATGGATCTATATTTAGCCTATGCACTTGATTTAGCCCCAACTGCCTGTTTTTTACTCTTCCATGAAATCAAGTTTCCACACACAAAAGTGTGTACCCCTGATGTAGATCTCCTGTTATCTTAACAACCTGCCCAATCTGCATCTGTATAGGACACTAGTTTCAAATTTTCATGGTTTGAGAAAAGAATACCTCTGTCGGGGTGCTCCTTTAGGTATGAGTAGAAATCACTATTTGCTGATTCAATCAAGCTTCTTGTGAAAGAAAGAGGGGGAAGGTGAAGATTTCAGCAGTAGAGAAGGAAGGAGAAGAAGAAAAGAGTAGGTCAACTAGAATTGTGAGAAAAATTAACCCTAGCCGCCTACCTCTCATTATATTTATATTTCTTAAAGATGAGATATTACAAGGATGCCCTTAGTAGGGTGGCTACTAAAACTGAGCAGACACAACTTTAAAAAATGTAAACTAATGGGCCTAGGCCCAACAACTTCCTAACTAAATAAAAACAAACTAAAACAAAACCGGGCCACTCAACACTCCCCCTCAAGTTGTAAATAAAGTTTGGTTTAGTGAACTCGGGTTGTTGTCAGAAATTTGTCTTTTTCCTTCTCTCTCTTATTTCTTCTAAGCGATCTGTCTTTTGGTTGCTTACCCTATCAGCAAGACTTCTTCATTCTCTTCTAATTTATTGATCTTTCATAGACAGCAAGCATTCTACTTGCTTTTCCGTCCATATTCATCATCTTTAATCACCCACAACCCCTCATTCCCCCCACAAATCCCACCACCAGATCTTAAATTTGTAGGACCCCTACTCCATCCTACATCAATGTGATCAAACCATCTTAGCCTACTTTCTCTCATTTGATTACCTATTGGAGTTACTCAGGTTCCTCAAATGACTTCATTTCTGACCCTATCCTTTCTACTTTTTCCACTTATCCATCTCAGCATGCATGCTTCTGCCACATTATTTTTTGGACTAGTTTCTTGACTGCCCAACACTCTGCTTCATAAATTATAACTGGCTACAACTGTTTTATAGAATTTTCCTTTTAATCTAAGTGGTATTTTCCTATAATATAAGACTCAATGCACTCCTCCATTTTGCCCATCCTGCTCTAATTCTATGGACATATTTAACTTCATAATCTATTAAATTACCCTCAACATTTTCCCATGAAAATAGCAGTCCATATAAGTTCATTTATGTTTTCTATTTCTTTTCTTTCCTTTAAAGTTGTAACCTTCTTTTCTCATGTGTTACTGCAGTACATGAATAAATTGACTTACTTGTCAAATGAGGCCTTTTTAACCATCCCACCAGAATTAGTTTCTGACTTGAAAATGATGCTCTCTATAAATGATGCTTCAAGACCAACTGCCTTGGATTTTACAGGTGAAGATAGCTGCTTATGTGTTTTAACATATCTTTAATGTAACATCTTCCTAAGTTGGTGGTTCACATTTGTAATTTCATTGTCTTTTCTCAGAAGTTGTATCCATAAGGGCACTTGCCTTTTCTAGTTAATACTAGCATAGGCACTTGGGGAGATGTTGATCAAAATATTTGTTAGGGATGCCTAAGGAGACAGAAATAAAGTGATATCCTTTGATGAAAGAAAAAGATAAGTCAAATATAAGGACATAAATGGTTGAAATGATGATATTCTATGAAGTTTATTACAAATGCAGTCCAGTTTCGTAGGTTTTATTAGGGAATCACCTTGATTGAATTTGGGACATTGCTGTGCCAGAGAGAGATACCATGTAGTTGGTTCTAGTAGTTGTTTATGTTTTACCCATTTTCTATTTTATTGTACTTTTACAATGTGTCAGTAATGTTTTGACCGGTGTGTACATATGTGTATATACACTTTATTCTTTCTATCAAACTTGTTTTTATTATGGTTCATTTTGTTATATAATATTTTTACTATTAAAAAAAGCATGCCTTAAAATTCTATCTAATGTAATTCATCAAAAAAAATCTATCTAATGTAACTTTAGTTGAAAAATTGTGAAGCATGTATAGATGTGATTAATAGATCTAATCTATGTATGTATAGTCTCTCACTGTACATGGTTTATTCTTGTAAATTCTTATTGTTGTGGATATCAATACAATTATTTCACTTTTTTTTTGTAAAGAAACTCATTAATGGAACTGATTTTCTACACATGCATCATTTGGAATTTTTGAAAATAGTAGTTCATTATTAAATCTGATAGTGTCATTGTGTTTATGCATGTCATTTGATTCATTATATTGAAAAGAAGAGAATAATGAACAGCTGAAAACATGTTAAACATGCTTAACATTTCTATTTTTCTGGCCATTGTTGTATATGCATTTTCATTTGTTGATCTACATATGTAGATATTTATATGTCAAGTCTTATGAACAATTGAAAACTTCTCAGAATTTCATAACATTCTGAAATTTTAATGTTTTTTTTCACATTTTTTCTGCAAAATGTGTTGTGTCCTTGTTACCCAAACCAATGGATTGCAACCCACGCTCTGTTTCTCAACTGTAAAAGGGACTGGGCCACAGGTCAGTGGTTCAATATACTGGGTTGAACTTCTAACATGCCACTCATAGTCAAATTTATTTTATAAGTGATAGAAATATAAGAAAATTGAAAATGCAAAGCAAAGTAGAAAATAAAAATTATTGGTAATATATGGAAGAATAGAACTAAGGCCTAAAAACTTAAAAAAGGAGAAAACATATCATAAACCAAGAAAAGTGGCAACAAAAAATTTCAAACTTTTCAAAAGAAGAAATGAAAAACACCAAAGATAAAAAAGTATATATACTTTGGAGAAACCCACGTCAAATCTCAAGTTCCCTGTTTTGGAATTTCTGGTATGGGGGTTTGATCCAACCTAATCTAGAACCGGCATATTACCTGAATGTCTAAACCTCTTGTCTAGTCTTGGTTTCCAAGCACTGGGGTAGAATGTAGTTTGATACTTTTAGATTCTTCTGGTTCATCTGATTGCATTCTTGTTTGAATATCTGATTGCAGTTGGGATGAGAACATGGCATAGTTTTATTCCATTATGAGTTCAAAGCAATAGAATTCTTATTTAGGCAAATGAACAGAAGAATCCTATTTTACTAGCATCAAACTTCCAGAATATTTAGGCTGCGTTTGGAAACGATGCAAATATGTGTGAATGCAATTATGTAGAGTGTAAAACGGTTCATATAAATTGAAAAGTTGGGTTAGTTTTGCATTGACAAATTTACCTTCTTACCAAAAAGACTTTTAGCTATAATGGATGCAAACGCGAATTCCAATAAAGCATTTGCTTTTTTTTTATCAAAAACCTACTTGAATGCAAATTTATTTCTTTTTTATTGATGTACTTTTACATCGTATTATCAATGTAAATATGCATTGGCCTATCATTTATCAATGCAAAAATGTAATGTTGCCAAGCACAAGCAAAAGTGAACCAGACTGCAAATTTACCCTGAACTGGGATTTACACTCCATTTGCATCATTTCCAAACGCAGCCTTACAGGTGCATCTTGTATTGTTATATGGTAGCATTGGAGTTGTTTTCTGAATGAAGTATTGAGATTTATTACTTGCAATTTTTCAGGCTTATATGTTGGGACAATACCTTTTTCTTTTTTCTGATAATTGAAGAAAGAGATAAAGAAAGAAAAAAAAAGTAAGATAATTTGCAGTGCTTTTACCATCCATGCAGCAATGTGTTCAATAAAATGATGCCATGGTATTCTAAATTATCTGTATGTGTAATTTTGCTTATCTGTATCTGAGAACAACTTATGATGTCCTTCTCTTACCGCATTTTATTTTACTTGATTGATAGGTACTTGTGTTTTGACTGTTCGTTCTTTGATTTTCAGGTTCTCCATTTTTTCGGGATGATGCTAGGTTGCGTGCTCTTCGTTTCTTGGATCACATGCTTGTATGGATTTTATGTTTCTTTTAAAGTTTACTATTTACTTGCTCCTGGGATAGTCATCCAGGTGCACCTTGAGTGAGAAAGGAAAATTGATGAGTAGTTGATTATATAACATCTAAATCAATGAATCTTGTCTATTTGCAGGCAAGGGATAATATGCAGAAATCTGAATTTTTAAAGGCATTTTCAGATATGTGGAAAGATTTTGATTCCCGTGTGTTGCAGTACAAGGTTTGAGCAATTTCTTGTCCCATCCATGTCATTCCTTTTGTAGGTTTTTTTTGACATTGATTTTCTTATTTTCTTATTTTTTAATCCTCACCTGTTTTTGCATGCTGTTGAATATATAACAAGTATATTAATTAGTTTATTTTATAGAAAATGGTAACTTCAATTAAATTAACTTAATAATAAGAGTACACAGGTTCATTATGTATTATTTAGCATTCCATGGATTCTCCGAAATGGATGAAGTGTCTGTGTTTGATATATGTCTGATTCCAACACTTAATGAATTCTTGAGGAATACTTCTATCCAATACTTTTCTTTTTCTCCACACTTGTTTGACATAAATGAACAGTGCATGTATGTGATGAATCCACTTTTCCTACAAAATAATACCAAGTAGCCAAAATAAACTTTTAGACCTTTTTCATATGTATAATGTGTTAGAGACTTAGAATTCAAGTATGCATTGGATTCTGATTCTTGTATTTGTGTGAATGCAACATTGGTATGGTTGTGTTTATGCTGTTAAAAATTATTTCTAATTCCATGTTTTCCTTTTCCAAATTGGTTATTTAGGGAAGCTCCTTGGGTGTCCCAACCAATTTCTTCCACATGTAGGAAACCTATGGTAAATCCTGACAATTCAGTAGATAGGTTATCCTCTTGATGAACAATGTTTCTATCCTACACACCATCCCAAACATTTAACTTTCTAATTTGAGATATTTTGGGATGAAGTTCATTTATGAGCAGAGCCTAACTTTGGAAGACCGAGGAATCTTCCGCATGGGCTGAACTTTATTTGTGAAGAAAAGGTAGTATATGGATGTACATACATGCATTTGTCTTTTCCTAGGAGAATCATTATCATTCCATCATCATAATGGTTGTTTACATAGAAGATAATGACTTATTAAGTTGGGAAAATATGCAAATGTCAATGTGGATTGGGTGCAGAGCTTGTCTTCATCCATTAACCACCTTACTTGTTTAATGGCTAAAAGAAAGATTACAAAATAATAAAAAAAAAAGCCTCAGAAATTCTGGTGATATGTCTTGATGTTTTGGATTAGCCTGTTCTTTTTTAGTTCCTATATTGTCCATAGGCCTGCACAAAGCAGGATTTTATGTCATGTAGTCTCTTCAAAGCTTTTAAATCTTCCTGTTGCTTTCTTGCCTTGGACACGTGATCTTTATAGCAACCTGGATTAGTTGTATACATTATGATTTCATGCAGGTACTTCCACCACTTTGTGCAGAGCTCCGGAATATGGTTTTGCAGCCAATGATTTTGCCTATGGTTCTTACAATAGCTGAGTCTCAGGTATCATATTTACTCCATCCTTGTAATGCAAAGTGCATATCACTTGGCATGCTAAAAGATTTTTATTTTTGTACTACTTGTTTATTTTCATCTAGAAAATCTGTTAACCTTTGGATTACTGTATTTTTTTGGGGGTACATTTTTTTTTTCACAAGTACAGTCTATATAGATTAATTTACCCAGAGGGGGAATCCCTAGATTTAAAAGAGTTTTACATTCTTAGTGTGTGAACATATATGTGATGAAATTTTTATAAATCAAAAAAAAAAAAAACAACAACAAATGATTAGCTCCCATTGATGCCAAAAATGATTAAAATTGAGCCCCAAAATCCTTTAAAACCGAAGGCCAAATAACCGACCGCCTCTCAATTGATCAATCCTTCCCATGATTTTCAAATGGGGAATTCTTCCTCTTGAAAGTGTGACCATGGTGCTCTCTCCAAATGCTCCAACACAATGAGAGGAGTTGTTCCATTCTTTTAAAATTGCAATTCAACCATCTGGTCAAACTATGAACTAATGACTTATTCAGCTTTCCCATTGCTAGTTGGTTTTTGAAACATTAGTTCATAGAATGCTGCCACAAGGTCTGGAGCCTTTAACTAGCCAAGATGCTCTGACCATGGACTTGTCCTTAGGAAATACCTGAAGTTGCTAAAAAGGGCTAACAAGTGACATTACATGTAATAGGACTATTTGCAACAATAAAAGTTAGGGGAAATAATTTCCATGGATGTTAAGCTTTCTGGTTAGAAAATGTTAGGACTCTAGCCTCCAAGCAGAACTGCTTGTTTTGGTGGATCCTTAGAGAGACCAATAGTTTGGCAGACTTTAGCCAATGTTGGGGTCAAAGTAATCAGTGTTTGAGGATTTTATGCAGATTTGTTAGTTGTTTTTGTTTATTATTTGTTTAGATAGGAAGTGGGGACCACAAGACACTTGTTGGGATCCTTTGGAGTGATGTTTTTAAGTTTTTTATGCAGTTTTATGTGTTAGTCGCCCTATAAGGGCATATTAGTCATTGTACTCTCTTTTTAATTAAAGTATAAATACTAATGGAGAGGGCAGCCTGATCTGATTTGCTCTCTCTTTCTTTCTCAACTTCTCTTCTCTTAATCTTCTTCCACAAGAAACACTTCTTTTCTTTACAGATTTTTTATTCAGTGGATTTCTACTAGGTATTAGAGCAAGACTATGGTTTCTTGGGGTTCGTCCATGCAGTCCTAGATTACCCTATTACATAAAGAGATAAAATTCTGATTTATCTACTTCAGACTGCCCAGTTCTTGGATTTTTTTGGTGGGTTTTAGTCATCAAGAAGGTGATCTGTGTTTTGGCATCAAAATTAGGAAGAATTGGAGTGCGGGGAAGAGCCCTAGTCAAGTTGGACTCTTCATTTTTGACCTGGTATTGGGTGCTCAAACTATTTTGGACTTCTCTATGTTTTCTACAGGGGGCAGTATAGTTTCTGGCAATTTTTGAGCTTTCTGGAGAGATCAATTCACTTTTATCTCTTGTGGGAAAAGATGGGAGAAGAGAGATTTCTCTCCGGGTAAGTTTTTCTTCCTCCAAAAAGGTCTTCTACCTTTGTGTGTGAGATCAATCTGATCTTGGAGGCTCTCTACCTAGTTATTTTTTGTTTTTGAACAGTTTAAACTTGAAATGGAGGGTTGGAGTACTAAGTAGAAGTAAACCGGTGACTTGGGTCTGGGTGTAGTAAGTACTAGTGATCCTTTTGGGTTTGGGATTATTACCACAAAAAAATTGGATGGTAGAAATTATTTAGAATGGGCACAATCAACCAAGATGGCTATTGGTGCTCATATGAAATTGGTGTACATCACTAAGGAGGAGAAGAAACCTAATACAAATTCCTTTCGGTGGATACAAGAGAAATTACATGGCTATTGGTGCTCATTAGAGGGTCACCGATCACTGATCACCTATCACAGCACCTATGATGGTTAGAACCATCACTAATCACCCAGAAATTCTGCTGAACCTAGTTCGATCCCCTGTAGCAAGCCTTAATCTTGTCTTATGTAACCTGCTCTTGTACCATGTGAGAATAAGCCCTAATCTTGTCTTCCTTATGTAACCTGCTCTTGTACCATGTGAAAGGTGGTACAGCAGAGCTACAATGGAGTTCGAACCAGAAAAAAAAAATAAAGAAGAAAGGGGAGAAGAGAGGAGAAGAGAAAATAGAGGAGAGAAAGAGAGAAAGTGCCAATCTGTTTTAGAGAAGGATTAGACTTCATAATCCTCTCTAAGCAGTCGGCCCACCTTTTATATTAGTACTAAATATGTGCTGGATTACATATATGCCCCTGTTTATAATAAATAATGGACAGGAGTGTCCAAAACATAAAATAAAAGGACATCTCTGTCCTGCCACCCAATACACCCAGAAAGACTATTCTTCTAACAGTTCCCTAGGTTCCATAACCATATTTCCTTAATAATTATCCATAATTTTCATAAGAAATGTATAAAAAATCAACATATTCCAAAATATTCAAAAAATTCAAAAAATATAGGGGCTGAACCCCTATTTCTGTTATAGGAAAAGAAAAGGTGTTGGTTAGACAACATTTTAAGTTCTTCCTTACTTATTGGTTCAGGTTTTGAAGTCTTTGAGGGTTCAATACAGCATTTAGCAATGTTTGTGTTGATTAAACCCTAACAAATAAGAAAATAATAAAAAGAAATTAGTATATAAGCACACAAAGTGAATATTTTAGCTTAATAATGTCTATTTTATAATTATTACCTCAAAAAATTAAGAATACAGAAGTTTTTTATAACACACTGTACAAAACTGCTTGGTGATTAGGTGAGGCGAGCCCCCAAGGGTGCCTTGTTTCCTAGGCACCCACCTAGGCGTTTCCTTGACAACTATGGGATGGAATTGGACCCACAAAAGGGTAAAGTTGAGCAGTATGGTGGTATGGTGGAGTTGGAGGCCCAACTCCATGGGTTTATTTACAAGGTCTGAAATGGGAAAAGTTTTCAGAACAGTGTCCAGCCAAGCATTGGGCTTGTATTCACTGCATTGAGGGGGAGGGGGATGGTGAGAGGGCTCACGTGGAGTTATTGTCCTCTTCATTGATGTATCTGATTGGGCTGTTGTAGAAACTGCACAGCGCGGCTTTGATAGTGCTCAAAGATGATGAAGGGCTGTTTCTGGGAGGATGGAGGGGCTGAAATGAGGGAAGTGATTGAGGTCTCCCACTTAGAAATCTTGCCAGTGGAAATTTTGTTGATTCAAATAAAGTCCGGCAGAGGCATCACAGTGGGTTGTTTGGCAATTAGTGTTACTACTACACAAGACCAGGTGGAGGCATCACTGTGGATTGTGTCAAAGGTATGGAGGTGCAAACCATAGTGCTCCTTTCAGAAATTAAACACCGATTCTTGGAAGAAAGGAGGAAGATAGGAAAGTGCACCTCCAAGAGGTGTTCAGACTTGCACAGGGGTTGAATGATCATGTAGGCAGCACATTAGCCAAGGGTGGAAAGGGTAGAAAGGTTAGCAAGTGGTTATCCTTTTAACCTCTCAGTTATTGATGGAATGCACTAACCTGCCAAAACAAACAAAAAAGAAAAAAAAAAAAAAACTGAAAATTCTCTTGGTCCTTTAAGATCCAGTGATTCTCCTGTGTGTGACCTTTTCTTTGTTATGTCTTTGCACATCGGATATCTGGTAATTCAGAATAGAAGGTGAGGTCCATTTGGCGTGGTCTTTATTTACTCCTTTAAATTTCTTAGATACATTTGGAATGCATGTGGATATTATATAAATATATAACTGGTACTTGGAGAGTAGCAAAGCTTGAAATGTTAATATTGCTGGGAATGATTTCCCTAGGGATATTATCAGGAATCTCTCCCTTTTACTTTGACCCAAAATATATATAGTGTGCTGCATAGCTCCTTTATTTGACATATTGCTTCTCATAGATAAATCCGTACATCATGAATGGTGATCATTGACAGATGCCTTCAACACTTCTCTGGTTGTAGGATAAAAATGATTTTGAACGATCAACATTGCCTGCACTTCTCCCTGTTTTGATTTCTGCCACAGGCGAGACACTATTACTTCTTGTGAAGCATGCGGAATTCATTATAAACAAGGTAATTGGGATTATTTTGTGATTCCTGGAAATTATCATGTAGCTGTTGCATCCAATAGTGAATTTACTGTTAAGCTTTTTGCTTTTGCTGTTTCTATTTCTGTTTCCTTGTGTTTGTAAATAGCAATCTTGTAATAGAGCCAACTTTTCTAGTTTATGGGTATAATTTGTCATTTAAAGTGGCTAGCTTTTTTGGAATGAATAACTATATACTTTTAACATCTTATTTTCTAAACACATTTGCTTTAAATTGTTAGTTAAATCTTGTATACTGCAAATACTCTTATCTTTTATTAGGAAGAACCAAAGAAGATGATAACTGTTGGGTTAATTATTAATAAAAAGAAAATTGCAACTTTGTCAAGAGATGGGACCAACAGGGCCAGGTTGTATTTTGGGCCTTTCCTAGTCAGGTTGGCCTTTGTGATTATTTGTAGATCACCACATTTTCATTATCCTAATGTTCTACATGCACGACTTTCCAAAAACAACAATCTCTATGAAAATTAATTTTATTACAATATACTGCATATTACATAACCCTTCAAATTTTATGCTTTGGTGCATTCTAAAGTTCAAGCCTAATTCTGGGGTAGCAGGGTAAATGAGGAGAGGGGGAATGATGCCTTGGTCATAAAGACTTTTAGTTAGGGAGGCTAGATTTCTTGCTAATAAGTAATAACTTCAACGTCTCATTAGATAGGTTGAACAATCTCCAAATATCTAGCACTTAAGCTTGCTAGAGAATGGGTGAATTGGGTGGTTTTAGGATCCTAATCTCCAGTCTAGAGCAAGGGACTCCAGTGTAATATGAGTTGGGTAAGCCAGTGGGCTGGCTTATTGGTTCTCTCTGTTCTTCAGCCCAAGTCCCATCTGTTCCTTTCAAGGAGTTTTGGTGCAACCCCATCCCCCCTAAGATTCATGCTTTTTGTTGGGAAGTTTTTTATGGGAAAATCAATATTATGGATAACCTGCAAAAAGGAGACCTTATCTTTGCTTGTCCCCTAATTGGTGCATCTTGTGCAAGGCTAATAGAGAGAATTGTTACCATCTATTAGTTTCTTGTCCCTCTATAGATTTGTGGTTGTTTCTTTTCTTTCTTCGGAAGCAGGTGGACTCTACTAGTGGAGGTAAGTGGCTTGTTCGAGCCAAATAATTTTCAGTGGCCCAAGAAGAAGGAAGAATTTTGTGGAGATGCACAAGGGCAACAGTGTTATGGACTATTTGTTAAGAATAGAATGCAAGGCTCTTTCTTGCGAAGGAAAGGAGTGTAGAAGCTGTGAAAAGACTACATTTTGGAAAAGGTGATACATTGGGTGAAAACCATGCACTTATTCTCTCAGTTCTCCTTTGATCACCTTTGGAGGAATTGGGGTGAGGTGGCTGCTAGTTCTTCTAGAAGAAGGATGACTATTGCTTCTTGGATTCCTCTTGCCGATGATTTCATTAAGTTTAACTTTGATGGAATTATCCGTGGAAATCCAGGCCTTTCTGGGATTGGAGGGGTTTTTAGGAATGAAGTTGGACATGTTGGTATGTTTTCAGGTCCAGCGGGTGTGGGATACTCGACCAAGGCTGAGCTTTCGGCAGTAGTTCAAGGACTATTGATAGCAAGAGAGTTAAATTTGAACTAACTAGTTGTGGAAGGAGACTCCAAAATAGTAGTGGGATGGCCACATAACCCAGAGACTATTATTTTGGAATTAGGGTTGAATTTAAGAAGGTTAAATGGCTCATCAGCAACTTAACATTGGTGTTTCAATGGGAGAGGAGATTGGCTAAGCAGGGGGTTAATAGGGATCACTTATTCTGGTCTCAAATGTAATTTGCACTTTTTCTTTTATTTTTTCTGTCTTGGGATGAGGTGAATCTCACACCTCTCCCTCGGATGTTTGTACTGATGATTTTTCTTCTTATAAATAAAATTACTTTACCTATCAGAAAAAATAAAAAGAAAAAAGAAAACAGAGAATAGTCATTGCACCATTTAACTTAACCTCTCCTCAGGACCTTTGGACATGGGAGATTCATTAAGGGCAGAGCTGTTGGCAATAGTATAGGGACTTCATCTGGCAAAGGCTCTTAACCTGACATTTTGGTGGATGGGGATTCAAGTGTAATAGTGGAGTGTTTCAAAGGAAACAACATAGGTTCCTGGTGTTACAGGAACATATCTTAGGAGATAAGGGCTCTAACGGGAGGGATAGAAATTGAATACAGTTTGGTATACAGATCAGCAAACTCTATAGCATATGCACTAGCCAAAATCAAACAAATGGTTAATAGATGACAGCTATTTTGAAAAAGAATTGTATCTTCATTTCAAGTGTATTTGGGATTAAATGATAGTACCACCCACCCAATTAAGGAGTTGATTGACAAATTTTAAATATTTTTTTCAATTACATTTAACTGAACATCTTATTGCTGTTAGACAGTGTATGCCCTTAGCTCCAATCAAATTGATGTACATATACATTTATTGTAAATGAATAAAAGTACATAATTGATTCATGTTATATTTGGTATATTTCTGTGAAATTACCCTTAAACTGGACACTTATGAAACTCGTGTTAATTTAGAATGTGCTCAGCCGTTGGATAGACTTGGGGAAGTTTATCCTACCAAGGCTGACCCTAACCCCTAGACTCGATTATGGTACTACACTGGGTGTCGGATTAGGCTGTTTTTGATATGCCAATTAGTGAGATCCTTAGAGGGGGTCAAAACCTGGGTATGTTGGGGCAATCTGAGAATTCACTCAAGTGGGTGATCATAGTGACAAGATCAGCCCCTTTGTTGGACAAAGTGAATGATCAGGACTGCACTCTCTCTGATGGAAACCAAAATTGCCAGCAGTCGATTTCAAACATATTTGAGATTTGTTTTGCAAAATATATTTATATGAATATATATATATATATATATATATATTATGTTTTAAGAAAAAGGTTTGTAAAAGGTTTTAATTCCCGGGATTCATCCGAGCAGAGAGTGCAACACTACACCTTGCAGCCAGGGGAGAGCTCCTCCCTTGTCGGGTAGTGTTTGATCATTAAGGGTTGAGAGGTTAAGTGTAAGACCATTTAGGGTTGTTATACCTGATAGGCTAATCTCACTTAAGGCCGTTGTCCTTGGGCCTTCATAGAATGGCTAGACTCAAGGACTATTTAGTGTAAATGTTGGGACCATTAAGAGCCCATACTGATGGACTCAAGGGTTCACTGTGCTTAGTAGTGAATTCGGCCAGGCTTTGTCACAGAAGGTAGGCTGAACCCATATGGGCTTTTGTGAGGTCATTGTTGGGGTCCCATAACATACAAAGAGAGCCAAATTGGCCAGCAACTAAAAGTGGACGTGAGCCACTTGTTAAATGGGCCTAAAGCCCATAATTAATTGGATTAATTAAGTAGTCATGTGAATTGGACGAATTTGGGTTTGGATAAGGGTTTGGATCAGCCTTTAGGATAAGAGGATAAGTCTTATCCACTTAAAGAGTCCAAATCCAAATAAAGATTTGGATTAGGAAGCTCTAATTGGATTAGGAGAGCTGATCTTTAAGGCTTATAAATAGAGGAGGGCGAACTGCTCCAGATTACAGACTTCTCTGCTCTCAGTTCTCTCCTTCTGCTCTTGCCACCCTAACCCTAATTCGACCTCCAGTTCTTGGACTGATAAAGATCAGTTCTGATATCTGATTTTGCAAGAAAACATCAGATCCAATTCGTGCTCACATCCCTTGCTCGATCCAAGCTGTTGGGTTGCAGTTCTTGCTGAAGGACTGTGTTGCTGAACTGGCTTCACCCTAAGCTACGCCATCTTCAGTGGAGGCTGGTTTTGGTACCCTCTTTGGGCATGAACACCCACTTTGCGAGCTACTCATGTGGAATCCGTATCAGGTATTCTTCTCCCTTTCTTTTGGTTTCAGATCTGGTCTGTTTCAGTGCGAGAACGATCCTTGAAAAATACAGTTTTTCTAAAACTGGGGGGGACACATGTCAGCTTAGGAAGAAGGAGTTATTTTCCCTCCTCTAACCACTTGAAGTGGGGGGACACTTGTCACCTTAGGAAGGAAAAGTTTTCTTTTCCCTCCTTAACCCATATTAAGTGGGGTGACACTTGGCACTCCAAGAAGAGGGGAGTGGGGAGTTACTTAACCACCTCCCTCCTCTATATAAACCCCTCTCCTACAAGGAGAAGAGGCTAATGCCTTTTTTGTTGGCYATTACTAATTGATTTGCAGGATTTCTAGCATTAAGAAACAAGTGGGAAGAGAAAAGAGAAGAAACTTGGCTGATGCCTACACCTCTTCAATATGATACTCCTTGTGCTTCTCACATGAGATGGAAGCCCATATTCTATCAATTCCTCTCACTCCTTTCTTTCTTTCTTTTATTTTTTCTTTTCCTTCTTGTTTCATATTGAAATACATGTAAGGAGACAACCATCTACAGCCTTGTTCTTGAAACTTGGCTGATTATGGTTCCTTACAACCTACTAACCTATGTGTGAGGGGAAAAACCATCTATAGCCTTGTTCATGAAACTTGGCTGATTATGGTTCCTCATAGCATGATAATGCACACAACCATAATTTAAAGGCCATTTGTAGCCTTATTGATGAAACATGCTTTTTATGATACCTATTTACTTGTTATGCATACAATGTTTGTTTCTTTATATGCTGGTTTTCTCTCAAATAAAGAGGGAATATATACCAGAATTTTCAAAGGAAAATTCTGTAGAAAATTCATACTTAGTTTTGTCTCTATTCATTGGTACTTCTGAATCAGAATCAAAAGGTTTTCTCTGCCCCTAGCAGAGATGTAATTAAGGGAATTTCTACGTGATTTCCCGAATGGGGATTACCCAAATAACAAAAAAACCAGTTATTAGTCTAATTGGGTGAATTATGTTATGTGAGAAATTATACTTGAAAAAAATTTTCCACTAACATAATTTTGGCACGCTCGGTGGGACCCATTTGTATTGTGCCTAAAAAATTTTCCACTAACAAAATTTTCCACTAAAAAAAATGGTGATGGTTCATACAGTATCCTTATATTTGTATTGTGCCCATACAGGAAGAACTCATGGCACCAAAAGTAATTGTTCACTACCTTGAAGTGACGGCTGCAGAAAAGGAGAAAATGGGGGGGCTCAAAGAAGCCCTCCTACAAAGCAACATTCACTGTGGATGTGAATCCCCTTGCTGCTACCACCATGGCCTCGGTTCCTAAGACTGAGAAGAAGATTAAGAAGGAAAAAAGAGAAAGGTCACTAAGACCTCTTCTACAAGAAATAGCCTACGTATACAGGCTATGCTCAATTCTGCTAAAAGGGTAGGTTTTAAGCCTCCAAAGGCAAAGGTAACTAAGAAGGTTGCCTCATCAATCTTGAAGATCACAAAATCAAAGGTGGTCTCTCCAGTAAAGGCTACCAAACCAAGGGATAGAGTGATTGCCCCAACTCAAATCATGATCGGAACCATTCCCGTGAATTTGCCAACTCCTCTAGAAGCACCAATCATGATGGTGACCATCTCTGAAGAAAGTGGAAATGACTCGGGTCATCAAGTGGAAATGAACTCATACTTCATTGCAGCTGAAACCTCGAGTTATTGAACTCGGGTCATCAAGTGGAAATGACTCTACCCTTCGTAGAAAGAAAGTTGTTTTCAATCAAAGTTCTCCCCTTACAAAAGAGGCATCAAGAGAATCCTCCAATATCATTCGTAGGTCTAAAAGATCTTCGAAGATTAAGAAATCTCAAGCTGAAGCCTCTATGTCACTTGCTGGTTTTGCAGCAAAACAATCACAAAAATCAAAATCAGATATGGAAGCAAAGTAATGGGCATTCATATCAGGATATATGTATGCAAAGCAAGCAGAGATCTTTTTCAAGCCGGGGGCCTACACCATGCCCACCGAAGAACTTAGACACTATAGAGGACCCACCACAAGAGCGAAAGCTCGATTATTACATAGTTGGGAGGATACCTCAAGTGTAAGTTTAGGCAATCAGTTAGAATCAACTGATGAGATGTCTATAATTCAAAAAATCTACCCGATGTATGAAGATCCTGAATCATTAGTTCAAGACATAGAGTCTATGGAAGAAATATCTTCTCAGTTTCAGGAAAGTGTAATCATTGCAAATGACCAAGAACCAATTTCTATGCCAGTTCTTGTAACAGGCACTTCAAGCCTAGAAGAACAAATCCAAGATATGCAACGAAGACTAGCTGAAAAGGATGCTGAAATTGCATCCCTAGCTGCACAATTGGCATCTCAAGCTAGCAGTTCCACTAGGGAAACTTCACAGCAGTCTATTCCGTTTCCTACCCCCACTTCTCAATTGGATTTAAAGGCATTGATTGTAGAAGGAATCAAGGAGTTTCAGGCATCATTGACTCCACCAGTCCTCGGATACAGGAAACCGTATCCTGCCCACTATGATACATTACCATTTCCTTCAAGATATCAAAAGCCCAACTTTGAGAAATTTGATGGAATAAATGGGTCTCCCCATGAACATTTGGCCCATTTCTATTCCGCATGTGGTGAATCAGCAATGTCTGATGCCTTATTAATAAGGCAATTTGTGTAGTCTTTAAAAGGAGCAGCTTTTACCTGGTACACACAATTAGCACCAGGATCAATTATCACATGGGATGATATGCAACGTGCTTTCTTAGCACAATTTGTGAGCTCCAAGAGGAAATTATCAATTACAGACTTGGCTGAAATGAAACAAAGGCCAAATGAAAGTGTAAATGAATTCATTACACGTTGGAGAAACATGAATCTTCAGTGTGTTGAGCAATTAAAGGAAACTTCAGCAGTACAAATGTGTGCTAACAATCTCTTGCCAGAGATTGCTACCTTTGTAGGTACAGCAGAACCACAATCATTTGATGCATTGGTCTCTAAAGCCAGCAATGTGGAAAGACCAATTGCTAGGCAAAAGATTGTGGCACGCAAGCCCAATCCTCCTTCAGAAACTAAAATGGATGGCAAAAAGCCTGTAGGCAAAGGAGAGGCCATGGCCACCTTTGTTAATGTTAAAAAGAAGGATAAGGCTAAAGGAAGGGATGTTCCTAAGCCCATGACTCTGCAAGAAAGAAGGGAAAAGAAATATTCCTTTGAAAATGAAGATGTACAAGGGATTTTTGATGACCTTATGGCAGCAAATGCTATTAAATTGCTAGATCCAAAGCGACCAGGTGATGTCAACAAGACAAAGGACCCAAAGTATTGTCCTTATCATAGGATGGTCAGTCATCCCATAAAAGATTGTTTTGTCCTTAAGGACATTATCCAATCAATGATAGACAAAGGGGAAATTGAATTAGCCRAACCTCCTACAAAAGAGACTACTACAACTATTAACAGTATATCTCTTGTAGAAGAAAAAGCTCCAACTATCCCTTCTTTATATGAATTAATGGTGCAGCCAAGCATGTTATGTTTTGATGACTCCTCTGCCTCAAAGAATGAAGAAAGTTGGCAAACAATTGTTAACAAAAAGCCAAAAGGGGTAGTTAAACCCTTAAGAATAGAAAAGTCTACCTCTCTAGGTATCACTTTCAGGAGACGTAAGGTCCCCAAGAAGAATAAGAAAAGAAGGTCCAAAAAGAAGCCTCAGATAATTTTTGAGGATGAATATGAACAACCCTAAAGGTTTCCTGTTACTCTAAAGGAATATATTCCAAAAGAAATACTTGATGAAGGGCTTGATGAAGTGAAAATGGTCTCAACAATGCCATGTCATACGACATCTTGTCAAGAAGAAGATGTGCCTACAACGCAAAATGAGGTGGACCAAATTACCTTACAATATAGCCAATATCGTCTTCCTTCTACACAAGAAGAACCTTCTTCAAGTAAGAAGGCAATTGAAAAGGCTGATAACTCTACTACACAAGTAGAGATTGAAGAAAAGGAAGATAGGGAGTTTGTTACAGAAAATAGGACAAATAACTCACAATTAGTGTGAATAAACCCTAGTTGATTCTAGGTCAAAGTAGAGAAGAAGGAAGAAGAAAGAAAAGAGAAAGAAGGAGAAGAATTTTCGACCAGACTAGAAGAGAGAATGTGAAAAAAAACTCTCCTAGCCGACCCACTTGGATTTTATTCATAAAACTTGGAGTTACAAGAAAGACAGTTTTGTCCCTCATATAAGATGGGACACATAACTTA